CTTGTTCAATTAAGCTTAAGCAATAAAACCTGGAAGCCGATTGGTTTCTATGCAGAAGTGGATGAGATTCTGAATGATCAGCTTTAGTAAATAATCTCCTTTGGATTATTGCATTTATTTGTTGCATGAAGCACAGTATCTTTGTGAGTTGAATACATTTATTTAGAAATGTTTGACAACAGTGAGCACTACGATTTAGCTTTCTCTCTGTGATATTGTTGTTTTGGGAAGGAAAGGGTGGATGCGAATCCTTTGAAGACTAAATGTTGCTGTTAATAAGGAGTGGTGGAACCCCTATTACCTACCTTGATGACAAATGCACTTCTAGACCTTTTCTGTTGTAGGAGGTCTATTTATGAAGCTGAGAGGTATAGGCACACAGATCTGGGAATGCACCCAGTGAATATTACCTCATAGCTGTGGGGAATCTTTCTGAAGATCGATTTTGAAGACTTTTTTTAATGTGTGGATTTTATGGTTTGGGACTATTATATGAATTTATGACACGGTTTTTATGTTTTGGCAAGAGTAAGGTATAAGTATTTATTCTGATAGTTATTAGCCCTGCACTTTTATTGTGTTTTCAATATTAAATAAAACTTAAGAGATAAGTTCACCTGATAGTTATTAGGATGTAACCTGCACTTTTCATTGGGTTTTTCTCCCCTACACCCGCTGTCACATTTTCAGCACTGCCGGCACAGACCTCATTCACACAAGGATGTGAATAAATTACAATTCCATTTTCCACCTGCGGCAGACGAACCTGTAAATTCAATGGACCTGCAAAAATATGCATTTATTACGTTTTTTTGTTAAAGGTAAACTTAGCCTTTAAGCACAGACCACCCAATTTCTTAAGTAAAGGCCTATGACCTCACATCACATTAACCTCCCTGGCGGTATTATTCTTTCCGATTTTTTGTGCTGAAAGCGGTACCATTTTTTCGCATGGAAATAGTTTTTTATTGTAGGCTGTAATAATTTTTAGGAACATTTTCCCACAAATCATTATCACTCAATTCTGCAAGTGGTTCTGATTTACTATCACTGTTCTCTAGCCGGTCTAAAACCACTTTTGACGTAAAGGGACGCTTTTTGGACGCCATGGACGTTTCTCAGTTTCCAGGCAGAAAGAACAGTAAAAATGCAGGCAGGGCACAGGACAAAGCACTCGGGACAAAATGTATGTGAAATGGGATGAAACAGCAATGTTTTACTATTTAAAATAAAAAAAAACCGTCATTTTTTAAATTTCCCGCCGCCGGCGGTGCCCGTACGTCCCGTCGTCCGGGAACCGGAACACAGAAGCCGGATGCCGGCACCGGCCGGAGGAGATGGCCGGGGATGCTGCAGGGGACACATCGCGGGAGCGAAGGACAAGGTAAGTGCTGCAGGGACTCCCTATGCAGCGCCGCATGGTAAGCCCGAGTCTAGCTTGGGGTTGCCGCTTTTGGTATAGACATTTTACCCCGAGCTAGACTCGGGAATACCGCTAGGGGAGGTTTTTTATTTTATTTCTTTTTTTTTTTTTTTTTTTTTTTTTTCTTTTTTTATATTTTTTATTTTTTTTTTATTTTTTTGTTTTTAACTAATAAGGAGGTTAAGGAAAAGAGTGAAAGATAGGAAGAATCAAAGTACCAACTTCAGTTCAGAGTTAATATTCATATAATTTTAGGGGTCCTGGGCTGCATTAAGATGCGTAAAATGTACATGCAAGTGCACCTTCTCACATTTAATGCATTCACGTTTAATAAAAAGGTACATTCTATGTTAAAATATTTTTCTTCATTGGTCTTTTTGGCTATGCTACACTGCTCAAAAAAATTAAAGGAACACTTTGAAAACACATCTGATCTCAATGGGGAAAAATATAATGCTCGATATCTATACTGATATGTACTGGATAATGTGTTAGGAATGTAAGGATGCCCCATCATTTGATGGAAATGAATATTATCTACCTACAGAGGACTAAATTCAAAGACACCCCAAAAATCAAACTGAAAAAATGATGCAGCAGGCTAGACCATTTTGCTGAAATTTCATTGCAAATGGCACTCAATAGTTTGTATGGCCCCCATGTGCTTTTATGCATGTCTGGGAACGTCAGGGCACGTCAGGGCATGCTCCTAATGAGGCGACGGATGGTGTCCTGGAGTATTTCCTCCCAGATCTGGACCAGGGCATCACTGAGCTCCTGGACAGTCCAAGGTGCAACCTGGCGGCATCGGATGGACCGAAACATGATATCCCAGAAGTGTTCTATTGGATTTAGGTCAGGCGAGTGTGGGGGCCATTCAATGGTATCAATTTCTTCATCCTCAAGGAACTGCCTGCATACTCTCGCCACATGAGGCCGGGCATTGTCATGCACCAGAAGGAAGCCAGGACCCAGTGCACCAGCATAGGGTCTGACAGTGGGTCCAAGAATTTCATCCTGATACCTAATGGCAGTCAGGGTGCCATTGTCTAGCCTGCAGAGGTCTGTGCATCCCTTCATGGATATGCCTCCCCAGATCATCACTGATCCACCACCAAAACGGTCAAGCTTAACGATGTCACGGGCAGCATAACATTCTCCACACCCTTTCACATCGGTCACATGCTCAAGGTGAACCTGCTCTCATCTGTGAAAAGCACAGGGCGCCAGTGGCAGACCTGCCAAGTGTGGTGTTCAATGGCAAATACCAATCGAGCTCTATGGTTCCAGGTAATGAGCACAGGGTCCACTAGAGGATGTCAGGCCCTCAGGCCACCATCATGAAGTCTGTTTCAGATTATTTGGTTACAGACATTCACACCAGTGGCCTGATGGAGGTCATTTTGTAGGGCTGTGGAAGTGCTCATCCTGTACCTCCTTACACAAAGGAGCATATCTTAAATCAAGGAATGCGCTAAAACCACAAACTATTCCTAATTTAGTGTAGAAACATTAGTGCAAAAGATATATATATCTATTATCAATTAATATCAAAAAATATCAAAATTATGTGCAAAACATAATTTAAATAATTAAATTTGTGAATATAAAAAAAAAAAAAAAAAAAAATGTCCAATTCTGAATTTCTTCAAATGTCCAAACAAATCCTTTCCAAATTCAGGTGCTCTCAAAGAAATTGTGCCAAAATCCACCACCAAAAGTAAAGTTGGGTAACTCACCAGAGCTCCATGCTGATCAATCTCTAGATCAGCAAAAAACGCTTTTTGCTCTGGGAGCAGATGCAATGAATCCACTTCTCAGGTGTGATGATCAATAGCTACACATTCATCCATAAGGTAGGTATCCACCACTCAATATAATGGTTCCAGGAGCATTATATCACTCTCTCTTTTTATATCTCTCCACCGAGGTCATGTTTGGGAATGAAAGAGAAAAATCATGGTGCAGCCAGTTTTTTTATAAAAGTATCCAACAATTTAATAAAGATTTACACTCACAAAAAGGGTGTCTTCACCGACACCAGTATAACAGCATAAAACAGCAAATGGTATAACAGTCTCCTGTTCCCCGTACACTCACTACAGCGCTCGTGACTTAATTTTCTCCACAAACGTCAGCATCCAGTAAGCCCTACTAGTTTCGTCATGAATGACGTCTTCAAGGGGACGTCATTCATGACGAAACTAGTAGGGCTTACTGGATGCTGACGTTTGTGGAGAAAATTAAGTCACGAGCGCTGTAGTGAGTGTACGGGGAACAGGAGACTGTTATACCATTTGCTGTTTTATGCTGTTATACTGGTTTCGGTGAAGACACCCTTTTTGTGAGTGTAAATCTTTATTAAATTGTTGGATACTTTTATAAAAAAACTGGCTGCACCATGATTTTTCTCTTTCATTCCCAAACATGACCTCGGTGGAGAGATATAAAAAGAGAGAGTGATATAATGCTCCTGGAACCATTATATTGAGTGGTGGATACCTACCTTATGGATGAATGTGTAGCTATTGATCATCACACCTGAGAAGTGGATTCATTGCATCTGCTCCCAGAGCAAAAAGCGTTTTTTTGCTGATCTAGAGATTGATCAGCATGGAGCTCTGGTGAGTTACCCAACTTTACTTTTGGTGGTGGATTTTGGCACAATTTCTTTGAGAGCACCTGAATTTGGAAAGGATTTGTTTGGACATTTGAAGAAATTCAGAATTGGACATTTTTGTTTTTTTGTTTTTTTATATTCACAAATTTAATTATTTAAATTACTTATGTTTTGCACATAATTTTGATATTTTTTGATATTAATTGATAATAGATATATATATCTTTTGCACTAATGTTTCTACACTAAATTAGGAATAGTTTGTGGTTTTAGCGCATTCCTTGATTTAAGTTATAGCACTAAGAAATTTATTTGGTTTCTTTGAGGTGGAATTGCTGCTTTAAAGTATTAAGGGTGTGGCGCTTTTATTACACTTGTGACAAAGGAGCATATACCGGTCCATCTACGGCTCTGTCCAGCTCTCCTAGAGAAACCGCTAGTCTCCTGGAATCTCCTCCATGCTCTCGAGACTGTGCTGGGAGAAACAGCATACCTTCAGGCACTGGCACGTATTGATGGGCCATCCTGGAGAAGTTGGACTGCCTGTGCAACCTCTGCTACCAGCAGTAGTGACACTGACCCTAGCCAAATGCAAAACTAGTGAAAAAGTCAGAAAAGAGTAGGGGGAAAAAAAAAAAAAAAAAAAAAAAGTGTCCTCCACCTGGAAAACCATTCCTGTTTTGGGATCGTCTCATTGTTGCCCATCTAGTGCACCTGTTAATTTAATTAACACCAAAGAAGCTGAAACAGATTAACAACCCCCTCTGCTACTTAATTGACGAGATAAATATCCCAGAGTTTAACGGATTTGATGGTATACTCCAGATAGAAAAGTGTTCCTTTAGTTTTTTTTTTTTTTACCGTGTATAAGCAAATCCTCACTGTTAAGTTTCACACGATTTTCTCTCCCCAGGTTCACTTCTCCCACGCTGGAGTCCAACTGTTGCTCCTAGCCATATGGCTCTTGTACTACTAGCCCAACGGGCTCATGTCAGACGTCGCCGACGCCATCCTCAGGAACGTGTTTTTAGGGCACGTACACAGTTCTTGAACTTCCCAGAGGAAGTGGTTTTGCAGCGCTATCGCCTTCATCCAGCCCTGATCCGCGATTTGTGCCACTTGCTAGAATGTGACCTACAGCCCTCTACTGGACGCTCACATGCCCTTCCTGTTTATGTCAAGGTGACAGCTGCCTTGGATTTCTACACATCTGGTACATTCCAAACATCAGCAGGTGATGCTGCAGGAATCAGTCAAGCCAGTATGTCTCGCTGTGTTACACAGGTCACTGAAGCCATAGTACGTCGTGCACACAAATTTATCCAGTTCCCAAAGGGCATTATTCAACGTAAGGCAGCATCATGTGACTTTCAAACAATTCATGGGTTCCCAGGAGCAGTAGGAGCTGTAGGTTGTACTCACGTGGCATTAAAGCCTCCTTCTGATCATGAAAGTCAATATCGCAACCGCTGGCATTACCATTCCATGCATATGCAGGCTGTGTGTGATGCAAGAGGAGCAATGTCACATATAGTAGCAGAGTATCCAGGCTCTGTGTCAGAGGAGGACATTTTGGGACAATCCAGCTTAGGAGGCATGTTTCAAAACCAAAGCGAAGATGAAAAAGTTTGGCTTGTAGGTGAGCATATTGTGAAATCCAATGTAGTTAATGGGTAGAAAAGTATTCATTACATTTGCTTTTAAATTAGGGAAAGAGAGTTACATATAATACTGTAGGGACTTGGCAACATCAAATCATTCACTGCTAATGTGCTGTACTCCAAAACCAGGGGGAAAAAAAAAAAAAAAAAAATGTTCATTGCTACTATACAAAAGTAACAAGCAATTTAAAGACTCCCATTTTCATAATCCTATTTACTAACTTTGCCTGCTCATGTTCTTTTCCTCCCAGGAGGACGCAGTTACATCCAAAGGCCCTGGCTGATGACCCCAATAGACGATCCTCAGACTCCAGCAGAGTTAAGATACAATTCCTCACATGCAGCAGCACTCAGTGTGGTATCAAAAGCTTTCTGCAATCTCAAGTCAAGGTTCCGATGCCTAGCCCGACATGGTGGATCACTTCAATACAGTCCTGTCAAAGTCAGCCAGATCTTTACAGCCTGTTGTGTCCTGCACAATATGGCATTAGGTTTTAGCACAGATATACCAGTAGAGGAAAGAGAAGAAGGAAGTGAGAGAGAGGCTGGCGAGGAAGGCAACAAAGAATCACAGCAGACAAGGAAACAGCTAATACATAGGCATTTTAACGAGAGGTGAGATTTAATGAGAGGTGAGAGGTCGGCTTTGGTAATTTTAAAAGCTAAAGTTTTATTTGTTTAAATTTTGCTTTAGCTGGTTCCTCCATTTCCTCATCAGCAACATAATGAAATGTTTAATCAACCTAGCCTTCTTTACATAGCTTATTTTAGATCCAGTGTTCTCACTGGGTCTCTGTGCTTTTCTATCCAATGCAGGCAGATCATTGCTGGTCAAGGTGATGTACGTGTACATCCAATGCTAGGTATTGAAACCTTTCTTCCTGAAAGGATGACAACACCCTGATGGAAGCAGTCGGCTTGCTCATGGGAGGAGTTATACAAATATCAACACATCTTGATGGGTGGATATCAGTAGAGAGGGTGACTTCCCATAAAGTCAATGAGCCTGAATTTGCACCTGAGCCAGATTGCACTGCTCAGAAAACAGAGGGCTCTTAATTTCCACTGAATCCACACTCCAGTTGCATTGCATATATGTGAACAGGTACAATAGAAACCAATGTTATTTCACATATCATGCAAATTGGATGCAGTTCAAAACGCATATATATGAGCAGGCTCTCAATTAACACTGGTCATTTTAAATCCTTATGTTGCTAGAATTAGTAACTGGATAGGAAAGTATATCATATATATTTGTCTTAACCACTTCACTACTGGGCACTTTCACCCCCTTCCTGCCCAGGCCAATTTTCAGCTTTCAGTGCTGTTGCACTTTGAATGACAACTGTGGTTGGTCATGCAACACTGTACGCATATGAGCTTCTCTTTTTTTTTTTTAAGATAGAGCTTTCTTTCTTTTGGTGGCATTTAATCACCATTTTTTTGCTAAACAAATGAAAATTAAATTTAAAAAAAGTTTTTCTGTTATACAATTTTGCAAATAAGTAATTCTTAACTGTTGTGCTCTGATGAGACTGCCCTGATTATCAGTGTAAACCATGTACTGACAGTCATGCTGGTTATCAGCTTTTCTTCTACAGAGAGTTTGTGAGGAAAGGACTGCCCATACTCATCAAGTCTGTTTACATGTGATCAGCTGTGATTGGACACAGCTGATCACACAGTAAAGGGCTGCCGTGATTGGCCCTTTACATCAATCTGTGATCAGCTGTGGCCAAAAGGACACAGCAATCACAGAGGGCGGGCAGGGTTCTGGGAGGACGTCCGTGGACGCCCTTCCAGAACTAGACAACCACACTGTAGCCATCTTTTGGCTATAGCACGGCCAGGAAGCAGTAAAATTTTTTTTTTTTTTTTAAACATATCTTTAGGAGGGTTTCTCAGCTAATCACACCCTCCTTCCTGTATGCCTGATCCAAGGGCAGATGGATTTCAGGAAGTTAATACTACAGGAATCATCTGCCCTTACTCAAGATGTCCACAGCCGAAAATGCTATGGGGTGTTTTTCTACATGATTTCTTAGCAAAATAAAGCATGGGGACATGGATGGATGGCTGGGTTTGCTTTGAATAATAAAAAGGAAATTAAATAGGGCTTTTGGTTTGTGGTGATCAGATAGAGTGTAGTTTCCACTTGAAAGAATTTAAATCCCTTAATGAAAGAGGCAGACCAGGGGCCATAAGGTTGGGGAGGAAAAGGCTAGATGATGCTAAATGTCCTTCAGCCAGAGATGGGCTCTATCTGACTTGCTGCAGCTTCTATTGCACACTGTGAGAAGCATACAGTATGCAGTGAAAGAGTAAAAACAAGTTCAGTACAGAAGAGGAGCCTGTATGATTGTACAAACCTGAAGGTAAGGCTGGAGTTCAGCTTCAAGTTTAATAAAAAAATTTAAGCAAGGTAATCATTACAAAATATGTTTGTTACATAAGGCTCCTGATAAAGTAATACATGCTGTCAATGCTTTCAATCTAAATGTTTGAAAGCTTTACTGTAGAATCATTTGGTATTTAATGTACATTCTGTTTGCAGGTTTGAAGGTAAAATTTACACACTAATCAACAGTACAACTCATTGTGAAATGTCTCCACCTCAGCCATTATGAAACACCTTGCAGGAATCAGGCTTCGAAAAGAACATTATAAAACATTCCATCCACAAAGACTGAGCATCTTATACCCAGTGAAGCAGAGGAATCATAACAAAATAAATCCTTCCCAAATGGATTTACCACACAAAACATAAAATCACGTATAATGACCTTTGCCACAGTTCAATAAATAACTGGTTTCTCTTCCTATGTATAGTGATATTAAGATCAGATTAACCAGAATTTTTATTCAATTCATTATTTTCAGACAGTACTGTATTACAATCCCCTGTAATTTGCATTTCTCATACCATCCAGTCACACCCACCCATACTACCTTTCACAAAAATTTCAGGACACTTTTTCTTTTGTTTCTTTTTACTGATGGACCTCAATTTTTTCATTGTACAAAAAAAAGCAAAACTAAAACAAGAAAATAAAAAAGGGTGGGGATATGAGCTGGGAGCAAGAGCACCTCCCAACAATTCAATTCATGGAAGTTAGATGAAGAAAAATATATATATTAAAATAAAGGACCAGGGGAAAAAGTGTAAATAGGAGATGCGAAAGAGCAAAAACCTGCCCCTGTCGCTGCTAGGTTGGGATAGTTGGGCTTTCTGGATTTGGACCGTTGACATCTTTGTTAGGGAAGGTGGACAAAGGAAGTCTGCCATCCTCAAGCACATATACTGTCCGTTAAGCAATGGTGAAGAGTACTGGCTTGAAAAAGGTAAGAAGGGGACAGGAATTTCTTTCTACATAGAAACTGGTGTTTTTAGTCCCTCAGTCTTCCAAAACAATAGGTTCACTTGTGCTGGCAGGATGGGCTGCAGCAAGTGAGGGCATAAGCACAGCTGTTCTTGGAGGCAGTGGTAGCTTTATCTTCAAGGGTTGATTGGGGCGACGAGCAGCTCGGCGCATCTCCATGTGTGAAAGGGATTTTCTTAAGCATCTACAAAAGTATAAAGTAACACAAAAAGTAATTGATAAATTATCATAAATATTTGTAGGGCTACAGTTCTTGCTCTGTTCCCTAACATTAAAACAAGTAGGTGCTGTGAGTGCAGTGTAACGGTCAGTAATATTGAAAGGCCGACTCCAGAAATGTTTTTCTAATTTTCCTTTAGGCTTCATTCACACTTGTGCAACTTGTCCTGCGACTTTGGATACAAAGTCGCATGACAAGTCACAGTCCGTTTTCAAATGGCACCATTTAGGATCAATGCGACTTAAGTAGAATTTGGAAAAAAACCCAACTTCTCTTTAACTAGGTGGGTGCAGCATTGATCCGATGCAGAATCTGTCCCCCAAAGGCTCTAAGGCTGAGAACTGAGCGATCAGCGGTGCCACTCTGAGCAGGGAGCAGCAACTGTCAGTTACCGCTGTCTGTGGATCGCTGAGAGTCTGAGCCAGCTACCAGTCTAGGGATCTGGGTGGATCCTCACTTTAAAGTCGGTATATTTCCCCAGCCTGGACTGACAGAGTGACATCAGCTGACAGCAGACTTTAGCCTATCAGCTAAAAAAAGGGGTCACAGGAATGCAGTTAGTTCTGTACTCCTGTGATCCACAGGAGAAGTACAGCCAAACAAGCCTTGGCTGTACTTCTTTAAAGTTGCAGCGACTTTGGAACTAAGTTGCAACAAAGTTTTGCACAAACCTTTTCAGAGTGTAAAGTTGGATCAAAGTTGCACAAGTGCCAATTGAGCCTGTTCCCTGTGATGCCCATACAAGAAATTTCAGATATGTCTGTTACCAGAACAAAAAGGAGCAGACTGCAATAAAACTCAGATATAAGCAATAAAAGTCAGAAATTTTAACCCTTCCCCACTCTAATAAATTGCGTTTATGTCTCTGTCCCTGTTGAAGAGGAGATCTCCCATCACTTCAATTCCTTATGGAGAAATTTCTCCTCACTTCCTAACAGGAACAAAGACAAAAACAGAGCAATGGTTATATCCCCTCCTTACTTTGTCCTATACACAATAGGGGTTGATTTACTAAAACTGGAGAGTGCAAAATCTGGTGCAGCTCTGTATTGTAGCCAATCAGCTTTTTGACTTTGACCAAAAAAAAAAAAAAAAGGGAAACCGATTGGTTTCTATGCAGAGCTGCACCAGATTTTGCGCTCTCCAGTTTTAGTAAAATCAACCTCTAAGTCTGGCTGGGGATGGGCTTTCAAAATGGGGGGGGGGGGGGGGGAATGTTTAAGAAGCAAGACAGTTACCTTGTATCCTTTGTAGCCACAAACACTACCGGATTAGGGGCATCAGCAAGATTGAGTTTCTGCCTCTTAACATTGGGTTGAGAGCTGGAACGGACACCGGAGGAGAAGGAGCGGCCATTGGCAGAAAAAGGAGGTACCACACCAACCCCAGATACCTAAAAGGAAGTTATTGCAGAGAAGAAAATTAAGAAAGAAACAAACCTGAGACTACAGGACAATTGTGTTTAATATACCACTTAAAAACATACAGATTGCAGGAAGGATCTCTCTTCACCTCAGCACTCAAAACAGTTCTTTGGATCCTTTATAGCTTAACCAATCAGGTTTAGTTATCCATGACAGTTTATACCACCGGCTGCTAAATCTATTTTGTATCTAATAAGATGGGGAATCAACTTATTGCGCACCAACACGGATGGGAGTGATTTATGTAATTCTGTAACTGGATTAGATTATACTATATAGATAAGGAAAATGTTATCTTTTGTATTTAAAAAAAACCCAAACCTATTACAGTCTTCAGTAAATTGATTAAAAGGATAAGTTCACCTTTGGGCATGTTCCACCCGGTTTTAGGGTGGAACATGTAACATGTTCCCATAGCCGCCTGCCACCACCCCTCCCTGTGACAGATAGTACGGGGAGAAGTCTCCCTGTACTGTCAGATCTGAAACCAGCACAACTGTGCAGGGCTTTGCCCACACAGCCACATCATTTATTCACAGACTTCCGTGAATTAATGCACTAAGGCTGTCGGCTTGTAGTTTTCAATTAACTACCACGGCGCTGTGGAGTGCCATGGTAGTTCATTGAAGTTTCCTGTCAGAATATCGGCTTGCTCGTACATGCCGTACGGCAAGCAGATATTCTGACAGATCTACAGGAGACCTGCATGGCATCAGCAATCTTCTGAACGCTCGTGCAATGCTTTCCAGGCTCCTGTAGACAAAAATAAAAAAAAATGCACTTTTTTTTTTACCTGCAAAAAAAATGTGCATTTATTATTTTTCTCTAAAAGGTGAACTTATCTCTTAAATTGAGAAAACATCCTGCCAACCCTCATTACAGTAGGATGCATATACAAATAAAGTAGATGAAAACAGAAAATTCCCTAATAATTAGTCTGTGGAGAGATTCCAAAATCTGTGTTATTTTTACATTAAAATAGTACTGTTAATATAAACAATGAAATGTTTCACATATAGTTTGTGTTATGTATTCAATGGCCAATATCTCTCTCTCTCTCTCTCTCTCTCTCTCTAGATCTATCTATCTATCTATATAAGCTCTCTCTCTCTCTCTCTCTATCCATCCTAGACTTTTATACGTAGCATAAGTATTTTGTCCAGGAAAGTGTTTCAACACTTTTACTACCTATTCCATCAAGACTTAACAGTTTTAACATCTGAGTATAGGTCCACACTAAACAGAAAGTTTTATAATCCATTACAGTTTATTCACATAAATGTCCAAGTTAAAGCTTAACTCCAGGAATGATCTCATTTAGCATTTCCTCCATTCAGAGAAAGTCTTGTATTTTTTTATTCAATGACCCGAAGGCCTTCTTTCACGGGATGAGGCAGAGGAGGGGTGGAAGACTGCACAATCTCTGTTTTGTCCAATCAGAGAACACGTTGTATTCATTGGAAAAAAAAATTTAAGATGTTCTCTGAATGGCGGAGGTACCAAGCAATCAACCCTCAGTATTCAAAAAGTAAGTAGGTCTTGCAATGCCTAAAGAGACCAATGCTATGCTATCTAGGAACGGCCACTACAGTGAATTTCTGGCCCTCCGGATGTGAGATATGAAGGATTAGTAGTTACCAAGATGGACTAATGTAGATTTAGGGAAAAAAAAAAAAAAAAAAAAAAAAACTCCAATCAGCTTTAATCTGTTGTCCCCCAGTACCAATATAATACTTACAGCTTCAAATGCTCTTTTTGTGGGTAACACACTCAAACTACGACTCTGAGTGAGTTGGTTGCGATTTATTGGCGTTTTTGTTCCACGTGGGGTTTTCGGCTTGAGGGGTGCTTGAGCAGCTAAAAGAAAGATGATGTGAGTGTCAAACAGTACTTTAAGACTAAGTAACCCCCTGTGTTATTTACAATCTACAGTACAGTATGTGACCTGGACAGGCAGCAACAGCCTATTCCAAGCAGCCCTTCCACCTACCCAGCACAGAGAGAAATTTTCTGTGAACTCTAAAGGCAGTCTAATGCCGGCCATAGACTGTTCGAAAATCAGCCGATTTGTCGGCCGGGGAAAAAAAAAAAACCACGGCCGATTTTCGCACTGTTAGTGGGTTAATTGGTCGGCTGTTTTTCGGGTTTTTTTGCACTTTGAGATTTTCGGTCTTGGAAAATTTGCGGCCGATTTAGACGATCAGGACGATTTTCCCGGCAATGATGGCCAAATCGGCCGATCGTTTTAACGATAAAAAAAAAAAAAAAAAAAGCATGAGCAGTGACTTGCAAAGTTATGGGGTGAAATTTATGATTTAGTCAGGCAATTTTTTAAACCATTGGTGGTAACGTCGGCCAAATGACCAACTTTTCGTTGATTGTTCAAAAAAAAAAAAATTGGCCGATGTTCGACCAGTCTATGGCCTGCATTAATCCATAGGGTTCAATATTGAGTTGGCCCACCCTCTGCAGCTATAACAGCTTCAAATCTTCTGGGAAGGCTGTCCACAAGGTCTATGGGAATGTTTGACCATTCTTCCAGTAGAGTATTTGTGAGGTCAGGCACTGATGTCGGACAAGAAGACCTGGCTCACAGTCTTCACACTTATTCATCCCAAAAGTTGTTCTATTATTTATTTCAGGTACTTATATAGCGCCGTCAATTTACGCAGTGCTTTACATATATATTGTACATTCACATCAGTCCCTAACCCTCAAGGGGCGTACAATCTAAGGTCCCTAACTGACATTCATACATACACATACTAGGGTCAATTTAGACAGGAGCCAACTCGCCTACCAGCATGTCTTTGGAGTGTGGAAGGAAACCGGAGTACCCGGGAGGAACCCCACGCAGGCACAGGGAGAACATGCACACTTTCGCTCCACTTGGTCTCAGGAACAGGGAGGGGGTGAAGCTTACTGATGTCGGGGTATAATGAATCATGCAATTCCTGAGTCAATGCACACCTCAGTGAAGTCAGGCATGCTGCCAGTTCCAGCCCCGCAGCTTGATCAGAGTAAGTTGGAGGGAGAAGATGGACCGGTCATGTGACTGAAACTTTGTTGTACAATTTAAAGGTACTATTGAGCTTAACACTTTACATGACCTAGGGCAGGGTACCAAAAGCATATATGTACTGAAACTGGAGTTCTAATGTATTGCTACTAGCGTAAGGTTCTTGTGCTTACCTAGCTCTTTCACAATGGCAGCTAAGGGAGGGCGCACCAGGGGCAGGATCTTTAGTGGAGTTTTAGCTGCTTTTGGTAGTCGAATAGAGCCTATTGAAAGAAATAAAATTTAGCTCCTATATTGAACAGTTTTAAAGCATAACCAGAAAAAAGTACAACTAAACAGAAAAAGATAAACTTACATTCTGCCTTTATGGAGTTGGAATTGATTGGAGCATATGGTCGACGTGCAGCTCTTCGAGGTTGCAAGATATCTCTACACATGCGTCGTGCTATACGAGTTAGTTTGGTCGTTTGCAAAAGAAAGGTTTGCCGATTCTTTGCCAACAGTTTAGCCCGGTTAGCACTGGTGGTATATGGTGACATGCTTTGAGCTTCAGGCCGAGAAAGATGGCCACGAGAATGTGGCTCCTGAAACCAGAAATGACATTTTTCTGCAGGTCATACAAGGTTGTCTACTCATTTTACCTATCTAATGTTTAAGATGCTGTACAACACCTATACTGGTCTTTGAAAACATTGTACTAGTTTGTATTATGTGTATTTCCCACCCTCATATTTACCATCTTTGTAAATACCACATAGGGCAAGGCAATTTTAAAAGATATATCTAAAATGTCAACCCCCTGGGTGGGGCTCTTCCACTTGTTTAAATTATTAAATGAGGTACCTCTCTAAAATAACCTACAGAAGCAATTGTACTTTTTTCTTAAAATTCATGCCAGAAAAGCTATTTTTACCCTTAAATTAGTATTCCTAGGACATCACCAGCAGAGTTCTTTGTATCAGTCTAGTCAGAGGAAGGGATCAGCCAGATAAGATATGTAACATTCTAGTTAGTTACACAGGCACATGCCCACAAACTCACTCGGTGCTGGGTTCACACAGAAGGCAGAACTGCCAGAGCGATTCACCACTCCAGCAGCAGCTATCCTTTCCTGGCTGCAGTAGGGAGCAGTGTGGTATGCGATTCAACGCATCACACTGCTCCATCTTTTTGTTTTGTACAAACTTTATTTGAAGTGTACAAAACATACACTTCATTCATGGCAATATACACCAGTGTTCACATGCTCACCTACTGAGAACTCCAACTACCAACTTTCAGCTACATGAAGGTAGATGGAAGACCAGTCACCCTGCACACAGAGTGGGTACAGCAGTGACGGATTCCCAGAAAACAACATTACAGACGTAAGAAAGTTCCCTGCTTTGTATTGACCGCTCATTTGATGGGAGACACTTTTTGTGGCACATCTCATTTCAGGCAAGATGATGCATGCATTACAGAAAAGACTTACTCTAAGTTACCAACTGATATAACTACTTCCACTTGAAGAATGGGCAGCCTTTTTTGTATGACTAGTTAAAATGTTTTTGAAAAGACCAGATTGTTGCATACAGCTGTAATTATACCACTCCAATGACCTCAAAACTGAGTCACTGAAGTAGTCGCAGTTCTGCAGCTTCAGAAAATATTATTGCCATTGAATGGCAGCAGGCAATTAACATTTTAAAGAAGCCAGCAAAAGCAGGTTTCCTTTACTCCATAGGAAATATATAAAAAATGAATACAAAAATTCCTATAGATTACACTTAATATTTTTAAAACCTCTCAGCGTAATCAATATCTACACATACCCCAATATTCCTAGCAGCACCTTCAAGCTGCGTTGGTGTTTTAAGCCCACCATACTTTTTCCAGTAGATCCAGCAAGATGCACAAAGGCGGCACTGCATGTTAGGAGGACCCCATGCATACCACTGTGCAGAGACTGTGGCTGTAAAAGAAAATAGCAACAATATATAGGAGGGTACAAAGACAAATACACAGTCATGCCAAACAATAAACATGAAAATTCAAGTCATAGAAGGAAAAAAAAAAAAAAAAAAAAAAAATAATAATGTGATGAAATCTCACAAGCATTCAGGCTCAATGCACACTTGCATTTTTTTAAGCTCCTAGAAGCCCAGAAGCTAAATAGTGTTATCCTATATGTTCATGCACACTGCTTTAGACTTTTAGCATTTTTTTTTTTTGAGCTTAGCATCTAAGAGCAGAAAAAAAAAAAAGTTTTTGAAGAGTTTTTTTAGAGCGTTTTTCCAGCAGAATAAAATGCTAAACGTTCCTAAAAACTGATAACTGCTACTAAAACGTTCTTAACAGCTTTTTTTCTACAAGTACTGTAAAAACGCTGATAAAAGGCTAATGCCCCTAAAACACTACTGAAAAATGCTATTACCAGCATTTTTTTGGCTAAAAAAAAAAAATTAAAAAATATTAATAATAATAATAATACACACTAGGGTGCATGGAGCCTTAAAGCTTCAGGCAGATATAAAGACACATGTGAATATAGTTCTGTTTATAAAACACCCATTAATTTTAATTTTTCGTAATTGCATGCAGTGTATGTAATATGCTTCAACCTCTTACAGTCTACAGGTCAGCAGAGCCCAGACTGCAAGAAGACGCAGCACAAGAAGCCAATCAGCTGTGCTGCAATGCTTATGTGCAACAAGAAGTATTAGAAAAGGAAAAAAGGGGCGCACAAGCCTTGCTCATTACCTCAATAGAAAAAACTTTAATCGTACAAAGTAGCAGATGTATACTCACAAACAACAAATGTACACAGGCATATCATGACCGACAGTGGTCCATGGTCTGAAAGTGTACGAGTCCCACAAGTAAAAAGGATGCCTGAGAATGGATGATCGCGTTTCAAGGAGCAATCTCCTCTTCATTAGAGCCTATTGCTAATGCTGCTCAATCACCCATTACATAAAACATCATTTGAATCCAGCCCCAATTCTTGTGAATGGTTCCTCCCATTTGCCGGTGGGCGGGTCTGATATCTAAGGGGTGTGCACTAAACAGGATACTCAACATCAGTTATAACATGACAAGTATAAACCGACACGTAAAAGATATTGCAGACAGTAATTATCGGTCATATTAATGTATATACCTATGCATGCTAAAACATGAGCAAAGGACAGAGGTGTGTGTGTGTGTGTTCGTTAGATACTTTTACCATATTCAATGGCTAATGGCCTTATTCAATGATTTCAGCTACGACTGAGAGAAAAAAAAAAAAAGGGGAGAAAAAAGCCCACTCATATAATGTGATCCTCTACACAACAGCAATGGCAGTAGCTGCTGCTACCAATGTGGGATGCCATAGAACGCACGCTGCTCAGAAAGACCAGAAGTGCGGCATTATCCTGCTTTCCAGCTGCTACTTCCGGTCACGGGACTACGTCACTTCCAGTTTGTGGTCCAGCAGTCATCCTTAAGACTCCAAAAGAGAGCCAAGAACCCAGACACTAGGAGGGCAAAGGAACGTAATAAGTGGGGTACGCGCTGAGCAGTAGATATTGGATTACAGTCAAAGCGCCCATCTTTTCCATCACAGTTCTCAGGGTAGCCTGCAGCAAAAGATTACATAAAGTTTCTAATAGCAAATCATTATATGATTCACTATTAGAAGCTTCATGTAATTGTTGAGTATCGTGTTTATAAGATATCAGGACTAAAATAATGAAGTGCAGCGCTAAGAAGAATAAAAAGTCAATAGAGTGATAATCTGGTATCACAATGATAAACTGTAGAGGTACGGAATCCCACGGCTTCCACTTTATCAGAGTAACAGAAATGCGCACTCACCGGAAACGCATGGGTTATGAACCCGCGATTCCACTACGGGCCATCTTAGTTTCTGGAAAAAGAGCTGTCTATATGAGAAAGCACTTTTGCCATCCTGAGAGGAGGTTTTTTCCTGGAGAAGGGAACACCTGGCTTACCTTAAGGGGATCCCCCGGACCTGTTACAGGAGTCTGTGATGACCCACCGTGAGGGAGACGCCTGGCTGCCTGGATTCTGATGTTCCCATTGCCCGTGATGCATAATCACACATGCGCATAACCCATGCGTTTCCGGTGAGTGCGCATTTCTGTTACTCTGATAAAGTGGAAGCCGTGGGATTCCGTACCTCTACAGTTTATCATTGTGATACCAGATTATCACTCTATTGACTTTTTATTCTTCTTAGCGCTGCACTTCATTATTTTAGTTTTGACTGTTTATATTTAAGGCATTATGGTTGCCTAATGTGTTTAGCTGCTGACATCTATTAGAGCGCTCACTACCTATTTTATATGCAAAGATATCAGGACTGCCCACCGGCAAATGGGAGGAACCCATTTACAAGAATTGGGGCCGGATTCAAATTATGTTTTATATAAGGGGCGATTAGGAATAGGCTCTGATGAAGGAGGAGATCACTCCTCAAAACGCATCAGACATTCTCAAGCATCCTTTTTGCTTGTGGGAGGGACTTGTGCACCATTTCAGACCACGGTCGGTCATGATATGCCTGTGTACATTTGTTGTAAGTATACATCTGCTACTTTGTACGATTAAAGTTTTTATTGAGGTAATGCGCAAGGCTTGTGCGCCCCTTTTCCATTATTTTCTAGTGCCGTACTGGGCTATCCCCAGCCCTTAGAGGGCTTCACAGTACTGCCGTCTTGGTTCGAATGCTAAGGTCTATGAAGATCCTTCCATATATATCCAGTCCTTTGAGCGCAGGAGGTTTATCTTATTTTTTCTTCTTGCTAACAAGAAGCATGCCAAAATGAGGAAAGAGCAGACTGACAGATAAGCTCATCAATCTGCTGCTTCTCCTTTTCCTGAGCAGCCACAGGCTGGGGGTGCCACAAGACTAGTAAGTACAGTTGAGAAAAATCATCTCTTGTGTCCTCCCAGGCAAGGTTGCGTGAAAGGACTGTGTATATCTCAGGACTTGAGGTACAGATATACAAATACCTTGGCAGGTAAATAGCTCCCATATATGTATTTAGCAATTTTAAGTATTGACTTACTGTGGCAGCTTTCGCAAGTCAAACCCTTTTGGAATCCAGCTCCATTAAGTCCAGGTTTAGATCCAACAGATATAATCTGATTGGGATTCGGTTTGGTGCTAAAACCAAAAGACATGGGACTTAAAGATCATATATGTACCGTCAGTACACACAGCAAATATATAAGGATGTGTAATACTCACTAAGTGGGGATGTAGACTTGCTTCAGTTTGCTGTCTGCTTCAGCTGCCTTCAAACGTTTCTAAAGAAAGATAACAAGGTGAATGTATACTCTCACTGTAATTACTAGAGGGGTACTTCTGCATTTTCAGGGTAAATCATGGACTTTGGCTTTCTGATGTATGGACACAGCAGACTAACCAGCTGCACCGAGAAGTGGTTAATAGGCAAGTCTCATGGCACAGACACACATGGAACTTATTCATTATCTTCCCTGTAAAAGGATGAATCTTAGAACTAGCTAGGAAAACAAGGTGTGCACCACAAGCCTCTGCTTTTTTGCCATGTTAAGGCTCTGTGCTCTGTGGGTAAAATGAAGCTCAATACCAATATAGGTTAGCGAATTGATCAGTTTATTGGAAAATTAAAACTTGGATTTACATTTACAAATCAATCAGGCGCTTTGTCTCATTTTCCCAGAAATTAAAAGGATGAAAGCCAAATGGACACAATGACAAGTTCTCCCAACTTTAGGATAAATCAAGTTTTTATAAATAAGCCCCACAATTTACTCCTGTAATTTTACCTGTTGGATGTATCTGTCTGTAGTTTTCCACATATAGTAGAACTGAACAATACTAGCCAAAGACTTCCAGGGGAGCTAAAAGAAAGGAAATAATTTCAGAATACAAAAAAAAAAAAAAAAAAAAAATCGTATCTAAAGCAAATTTTAAGAACCAGTTAACAATGGAAGATAGCACAATTGCTACTGAAGAGAAGTATCTCTGACATAGTGGAACAGAGGTAAGCTTTACGGCCAAGCACAACGGACATGCAGAGCATGTTAAAGGAAAGGATAAAATTTTTTTCTGGTGAACACTTACTTGACCTTACTACCATCGAGGAAGTCTCCAAGATCCTCTGATGCCCGCCTCACCACCTGCCCCCTCGACCCTATCCCCTCACAATTCCTACGACCTCCCTCTCCCTCCATCCTACGCTCCCTCACCCACATCTTTAATCTCTCCCTCTCCTCCGGCACTTTCCCCTCCCCCCTGAAGCATGCACACATCACCCCCATACTTAAAAAGCCCTCCCTGGACCCCAATGACCCGAACAACCTCAGACCCATCTCCCTGCTCCCACTTACATCTAAACTCCTCGAGCGCCTCGTCTACACCCGCCTATGCTCTCACCTCAACAACAACAACCTCCTCGATCCCCTACAGTCTGGCTTCCGCCCCCTACACTCCACCGAAACCGCCTTACTCAAACTCTCCAATGACCTTCTAACCGCCAAAGCTAATGGCCACTATTCAGTGCTCCTACTCCTTGACCTCTCTGCGGCCTTCGACACAGTTGACCACCCCCTCCTCCTCAAAATACTACACTCCCTCGGCCTCAGAGATTCTGCTCTCTCCTGGCTCTCATCCTACCTGTCACAAACGCTCTTTCAGCGTTACCTATAATGCTACCACCTCCCCCTCACTCCCCCTCTCTGTTGGGGTCCCTCAAGGCTCTGTCCTTGGGCCCCTTCTCTTCTCCATCTACACCTCCTCCCTTGGCCAACTCATACACTCTCACGGCTTCAACTACCACCTCTATGCCGACGAGAGACACAAATCTATCTCTCAACCCCCCCACCTCACCCCTCGGTCTCTGCCCAAATCACACACCTACTGAGCGACATATCAGATTGGATGTCGCTACACTTCCTTAAACTGAATCTCTCCAAAACCGAGCTCCTTGTCTTCCCCCCAGCCCGAACCCCACCCCCCATTGACTTCTACATCACATCCAACAACGCCAATATCAAACCCGCTCTGCAGGCCAGAGTACTTGGTGTCATTCTGGACTCCAACCTATCCTTCCAGCCCCAAGTCCAATCTTTAACAAACTCGTGCAGACTCCACCTCCGCAACATCGCCAAAATCCGCACGTTCCTAACCCCAGAAACCACTAAGCAGCTCATCCACTCCCTCATCATATCACGACTCGACTACTGCAACTCCCTCCTCACTGGCCTGCCTCGCCGCTGGCTATCCCCGCTTCAGTCCATCCTGAATACGGCTGCCAGACTCATTCACCTTTCCAACCGCTCCATTTCCGCCACCCCCCTCTGCCAATCCCTCCACTGGCTTCCGATTGCGCAACGGATCAAATTTAAAATCCTAACACTGACGTACAAAGCTGTCCACCATACTGCCCCGAACTACATCACTGACCTAATATCCAAGTACCGCCCCCAGCAAGCACACTCCGCTCCTCACAAGACCTCCTTCTCTCTAGTTCCCTGGTCTCCTCCCATGCCCGCCTCCAGGACTTCTCCAGGGTGTCACCCATCCTCTGGAACTCCCTTCCCCAACCCATCAGATTATCACCTACTCTCCTCTCCTTTAGGCGCACCCTGAAAACCCATCTCTTCAGGGAAGCCTACCTCACCCCCTGCTAACTTGCTGACCTCCTCCACTCTTCCTACCACTCCATCCCCCACAACTATCTCCTCCTGTACCACTATCCCATCCCTTCTAGATTGTAAGCTCGAAAGAGCAGGGCCCTCGATCCCCTCATGTTTTGCATTGTATTGGTATTGTTCTGTCACATGTTCTGTCCCCCTTTGTAATGTACAGCGCTGAGTGAACTATTGGCGCTTTATAAATACTGTATAATAATAATAATAACACATTTAAATGATTTAGCTAAAAGTACATTGTAGTTTGACCTTTACTTTAATTGCTTGTGCTATCATATTTTTGTATCACCTATAAAGATTTGTAAATTAACCACTAGAAGGAGCCCTTTTGACTCTGCCTACATATCTACTAAGATATGAGCCCCACAGGGAGTGCACTTGTTCAATGAGACAGCTGACTAAAACTGAACATTTTGCAGGAACTTGCCAGATTTCAATCCATGTGTGGTTGTCCTTATTTGCCAAAATCGATCAGCAATGTTGTCTAACACTGGAGAATCCTGCTATCTGATTACAATGTCCCGGCAAGGGGGATCTCTTCATTCACCTGGTTTGTGTGGCTGTAGGAATCTTTTTTTTTTTTTGTTCCTCTATGACCAGTTTAAGGCTGCATTCACACTTCAGTGATTTGTAGCTTGAAACTCAACGCTCCAAAAATGCTTAAAACGTAAAAAATCAATTGTTCTCTATGGTGCCTGTTCACACCTGATCGTTCAAACAGGCACCATAACAATTGATTTAAGTTTGAGCAGTTTTGGAGCTTCAAGCTACAAATCGCTCAAGTGTAACTGTAGCCTAAGACTGTGGCATTGCAGAAGAGAGGCTGCATATGTAAATTAACAAATATTACTGTCTTACACACACACACCTACAAATTATACATAGGCCAAAGTTTTAAACCATTAAAACATAAAAGATATTATTTATATCAAGCTGATCTTTAACCACTTGCTCTACGAAAGATTTACCCCCCTACATGACCAGGCCATTTTCTTGCTGTTCGGCACTGCGCTATTATAACTGGTAATTGCACAGTCGTGCAGTGCTGTACCCAAAAGAAATTTTGTCATTTTTTTCACACAAATAGAGCTTTCTTTTGGTGGTATTTGATCACCTGTGCAGTTTTTACTTTTTGTGTTATAAACAGGGAAAAAAAAAACCAAAAACCAATATTTTTTCACTGTTGGTTATAAGAAAATATCCAATAAACTCAAACGTTAGTCATAAATTTAGGCCAAAATGTATTCTGCTACATGTCTTTGGTAAAATAAATCCCAATACATGTATATTAATTGGTTTGTGTGAAAGTTATGGCGTCTACAAACTTGGTATATATTTTGGAATTTACACAGCTTTTACTTTCTGACTGCCGATCACATTTCTTGAGGTGCTAAAATGCCAGGGCAGTACAACCCTCCCCCCCAAATGACCCCTTTTTGGAAAGTAGACACTCCAAGGATTTAAAATGGGTAGCAGGGCACGTCGGTGGACGATGCTGTGGAAGTATGGCAGCAAATGATGGATGATGTTTAGGAAAACCAGTACTGAGCAGCACTTCTATAGAGTGGAAGCAAACTCTGTGCAGAAGAAGATGAAACAAGAAGGCGCTTCCAGGTGCATTATTCCAAGGTCAACTTTTAATAAAAAACGGTTAAAAACACTGACAGTCTGGTAGTACAAACAGGCTCTAATGTAATACGTCAAAAGCAGGGCTCTGTCCTCTAAGCAATGAAGCCGCTGTGCCTGCCAGCAGCCGCAGGGGGAGCTTGAGAAGAGGTGTTAAAGATGGCCAAAGCTCTACTTTCGGATGGCTGGAACGCACGCTGTCCACAGACTGGAAGTGACATGAGCATTGAGCGGTGACGCATTTCAGATCATACGCAGAGCTCCTTCAAGACTGATGGTCTGCGCATGCTACAAAACACGTCACCGCTCCATGCTCATGTCACTTCCAGTCCGTGGACAGCGTGCGTTCCAGCGGTCCGGATAGAGCTGTGGCCATCTTTAACACCTCTTCTCAAGCTCACCCTGCAGCTGCTGGCTGGCACAGTGGCGCCATCAATTAGAGGACAGAGCCCTGCTATTGACGGATTACATTAGAGCCTGTTTGTACTAGCATACTAAGTGTTTTTAACCGCTTTTATTAAAAGTTGACCTTGGAAGTTGACCTTAGAAGCGCCTTCCTGTTTCATCTACTCCAAGGCTTTTGCAGAGGGGCATGTTGAGTCCATGGAGCATTTATATTTTGCCACACATTTTTTGAAAATTACTTTTTTTCTCTTTTTAATTTTTTTTTTTTTTTTTTTTACCACAAAGTTGTCACTTAAATGATATATTGCTCATGCATGCCATGGGAATATGTGGAACAACACCCCAAAACTCATTCTGCTACTTCTCCCGAGTATGGGGATACCACATGTGAGAGACTTTTTGGCAGTCTAGCTACATACAGGCCCCCAAAATCCAAAGACCACCTCCAGGCTTTCCAAGGGCATATTTCCTCATATCACTTCCTCACTACCGATCACAGTTTCAGAGGCCCTAAAATGGAGATGTCCCTTTCCCACTGCTTGTAAAAATGATCCAGCAGCTAATTAGTCACTAGGATTGCTTTTACATGAAAGCAGACCACCAGCAACATACCAGTACATTGCTGATCCATGTTGGGCATATATGTAACAGCAGAGAACACGGGCATATGAGGAACTCAGGTCTGTGGGTCAATATGACCGCAATTCAATCTTTTTTGTAATGCCCATGTTGAGGGTTAGGCCCAAAAAAGTTTTAAATCCATGCGGTCTGGCAACAGCTGAATTTGGTGGGCGCGGCGATGTATTGTTTGTGCGTATAAATTGCTTTGGCCCACAATCAATTGGTACAAATCTTCTGTGAAAAACAGCAGAGGGGCTAAACGCTAGTGCTGAGAGCAAACGGGTCTGATCCCGCTAACACTATACTAGTAATGGTGGTGAGCAGTAACCTATAGTGTGAGTGCAATAGTGAGCGGGCAATCTAATACTAGCTGACCCTGACTGGGAGGGGCGATAAGTGACACTGACACTATATGATGTTGCTAGTGGCAGTAATACAATGATCAGTGAATAAGTTTATATACCCACACTGTACTACTAATGGCACTGGGATGGATGGCGGGGGTGATCAAAGAGTTAGATGTGCTAACCTAACACGAGAGAGAGAGAGAGAGAGAGAGAGGGGGGGGGGGGGGGAGGGAGAGGGGGGGGGAGAGGGAGAGAGAGGGGGGGGGGGGAGGGAGAGAGAGGGGGAGAGGGAGAGGAGAGAGAGAGAGAGAGAGAGAGGAGAGAGAGAGAGAGGAGAGAGAGAGAGAGAGAGGGAGAGAGAGAGAGAGAGAGAGAGAGAGAGAGGGGGAGAGAGAGAGGGGAGAGAGAGAGGGGAGAGAGAGAGAGGAGAGAGAGAGAGAGAGGGGAGAGAGGAGGGTGAGAGAGAGGAGAGAGGGGGGGGGGAGAGGGGGGAGAGAGGGGGGGGGAGAGGGGGGGGAGAGAGGGGGGGGAGAGAGGGGGGAGAGAGAGGGGGGGAGAGAGAGGGGAGAGAGAGGGGAGAGAGAGGGGAGAGAGAGGGGAGAGAGAGGGGAGAGAGGGGGAGAGAGAGGGGGAGAGAGGGGGAGAGAGAGAGAGAGAGGGGAGAGAGGGGGAGAGAGGGGGGAGAGAGAGAGAGAGAAAGAAATGTAGTGCTTTTACTCAGTGCCGTGTTTGTTCTCTCCCTAGCCCGGCTGGGGGGGGGTTGGGTGGGCACAGGCGCGTTCACACACCCCGAAAAAGAAAGCACCGCAAGATTACATCACTCTGCCCAGGGCTGCTGCTCACCCACAAAATACAGATAAGTGGTCGGCTAGTTACAAAAAAAAAAAAAAAAATTCTCAATATGGTATTTTTAATTTTTAAACTTTTTTTTTTATTTACACTTTGCTTTGCAGGAGAAATAAAAGATCATTTCTCCTGCACTGCAAAGCTTGCTATCATGAATGAGTTAGGTTTTTTGACAGCTCAAGATAGTGATCTGTGATTGACTGGAGCTGTTCACGTGGTACAGGTTGCTATGATTGGCGCCATGTATCATGTGACAAGCTGTGGGCCAATCACAGCTCACTAGGAAGAGAAGCAGAGCTGTTATGAAACAAATTGATTCATAACAGCTTTGCTAACATTGTGATCGCATAGCTTATAGCTTTCATTTTAAAAGTTTAACTGAATAAGCTGAAAAAACTGATTGTTGATATGTACAGCTGCTTCAGTTTTAACAATTTCCCCTCAATATGTTTTTAGCCAGCATAAGCATCTACCAGGACAAAGCAGTATTTAATATGCAATGTGCTCAGAATTTTAGGTTTTATTAAACACAGGGCACAGTCTGTGGTGTTCTTCGGTGTGTTTTCTGCACAACACTGCAGAAATCACTCAATGATAGAGACCCAGACATATTTTCTGCCCCAGTAGTTTAAAAACTAGAGTTTTGTTTGCTTTAGATAAGGTATGCACAGCAAGTTTTTTTTTTTTGTTCAACCAGTGGGATGAAAATTTTCTGTGTAGCTAGTCCCTCGATCTGTTACTGTTTGCCAAGCCACATAGCACGATTTAACACCAATTAAAGACTCAGATAAAAAGATACTACTAGTGCATTTGGATACCTGCTGATATACATAAAAAACACTGGAGGTACTTAAAAATTTTCAAACCAATCCCATACTTTAGCTTTGTGATTGTGTCACCTCCTGACCCCAGGGGCGGACTGACCATTTGGAAACTCGGGCACTGCCCGAGGGCCCGGGATCAGTAGGGGGCCCCATGAGATGCCCCTGGTACCTTTTTCATAGGCTTTTTTGAGTTTGGCCAAGGACACAGGGGCCCCATGATCCCCTATTGCCCGGGGGCCCCATGATTTGTCAGTCTGCCCCTGCTCATGACATATTCCTGGTTGGGTGGAGAAAGAAAGACTAACATGGAAGAATTTTGTTTAACCACTTCCCTGCCACCCTATAGCAGTTTAACTGCTACAGGGCAGCCGCTCTGTGCAAAAAAAAAAAAAAAAAAAAATCACAAATAGATGCGATTTTGCACGTGCGCCACTCTACCAGCGCTGTCATTGGCTCCCGCAGATATCAATCACCGGGCCCTGGCCAGCGATTCATGGCCGGGACTTGGTGATCGAGGGATAAGCTGACAGTTGAGAGATCTGTGAGTTTAAACAGATTTCTGTCAGCAGGCACGTGCTGCTATGTCCTCTACTAAAACACAATATAGTACATATTAATCAATCGCACCCTTTGATAGACCCAGATGTTAACCCCTTCCTGCCCAGTGTCAGTCAGTTCCCAACCAGTGTCAAAAAATGCCCGACAGTCCTGCTATAAAGTCACTGATCGGGAGATACACATACGTTTTTTGTTTTTTTTTTAAATGTTCTGGTTTTTTTTCAATTATAGTGCAAAAAGTAAAAAACTCAGTGGTGAACAAATAAAGCTCTATGTGTAAAAATATCAAATATCAATTTAATTTCTGTACAGTGCTGCATGACACTTGTCAGTTAACGTAGCACAGCTCTGTCTAACCAAAAAATGGCCTCGTCCTGAAGGGGTGGGTAAAACAAAGGGTAAGTGGCTAAGCCGGGTACTTTACTTCTTTAAAAGTATGTATCTTTTATTAATGAAAACCAAACTATTACAAAAAGCAGAGGGCTCCTACAATACAAAATGTGGAAAAATAAAAATATTACAGTCTGACTTACAAAGTCTTGTCGGATGTCATTAAAATCCTTTCCATATTTCTCCAAAGCCTCCTCAAACAACATGGCCTCTGATGCAGACCACTCTTCCATTTCATCCCTGCACAGAACTGGACCACCCTGAGGGACAAGTGTCGACATGGCACGAGCAAGATCATAACCGTTCCTCTGTAGGGTATCCATTGCATGGAACTGACACAAAAAAAAAAAAAAAAAAATACACATCTGAGCTTTTTACTCTTTTTTTTAGAATAGATACAAGCACTAAAAAATGCTGAATGATTACTATGTCACTTTAAGCACCCCAAAATGTTCTATCATGGAAAGACGAAGAATATGATTCATACCAATGTAATGTCACGAGAAGCAGCTGCTGCGCTCATGTGTAAGCTTGGCTGTCTGATTGAGCTGCTACAGTCCAATGCTCTTGCAAATGTGCCAACAGCCCTACAAATAAACAGAATAACAATGAGAAGCAGAACGAAAAATCTGCTACTGTATTCTATAAATCCTTAAGTGGAAGAAATGCCTAACACGGTGTTAAAAATGTTCCCCATCCCCTCCTCCTACCTAACCTGTATATTAAAAAGGATCTGTATATTTACACAATTTTAAAATTCCTTGGTCCGGTCACATGATACTGCAGTGCTGGATCGTCTGTGCCAGTAAGCGGTGGCTTCAGGAAGTGCTGACAATGGCTGCTGTAATGGTTCCTGATATTCTCTCAGCCGCTGTCGAACACTCCCTGAGCCAGAGCAGTTAGAAATGGGCACATACACATCTTTCTTATACAGGTCAAGCAGGATAGGTAAGAGTGCGAGGGGACAGTTTTGATGTTAGTCTTTTCTTCCACTTTAACTTCATTGGAAAATGACAGCAGAAGTGGTCTTTAGAATCATGATAGGGAATCAAGCAATGTAACAGCCCTAACTCACTTTCTGGATGAGATAAAAATGTTACCTGGCAACTACAAGAAACTGGTCTATTTGTCTATCTGTGGCTTTTATTATAAAACTCGTCAAAGGATTTTCAGGATCCCAAACTTTCATCTCCATTTTCTGCTGGTTCCTGTTATCAGATTCACCTATACAGGAAAACAAACATTATAAGGATATCTTAACATGCTGGAATAAAATAGGAATGTTACTTGCCATGGGAAAAAATTAAATTGAAATGATGGAGGCTGAGTTTTAGATAACATTTGCATACAATTATGGGGAGAAATGAAGATTTTGCAGTCTCGTGGCATTTACTCACCTTCAGCTAGCTGGTCGGGAATTTCTGCTTGATATTTGGAACCAACTCTGATCTCTCCTTGATCAGCCAACAGAGTCTTTTGCACAGGGTCAAACACCAGCGAGTAAAAAAAGCAATCCTAAAGACAACAGTGAATGAGGACAATGGTTAAGGTGGCTAACAGAATAGGACAATGCTGCTAAAAACACCTGAACAGAAAAATCTTACCTCTTTCTCCAAATACTGGCTTAGAATATCTGTCTCATTTAGCAGAGTTACACTGCATTTGCCCCTGCACAAAAGAAATCAGGCATATAACAAAAACTCCCAAAAGTAGTTGATTATTGAAACAGCTGGGGATTATCAAAACCCTAAACCTTCCATATGCAACAATTACCTTATCCCTCAGCGATTTTTCCCAGCAGACATCTCCAATGATACAGTTACATCCTAAAGCATAACTACATCCTCCTATCCCTTATAGACAGGGATGGTGCCATCTTAGTATCTATTTAGATCTACAGTTGCCATGGTGCTGCAGATGTGATAAGCTATGACACCAGCCATTTGAAGGCTTGAAATCTTGGTTAAGAGTTGACATAACTGACACAGTTGCCAGCGTGGTAATCTTGAGAGGCGTGCCTGGGGAAATCATTAAGCTTGGGTTCACAATGTGATTTCAAGCCCCCTCCGGTGCAACTTCGTTCAGCAGTTCAGGTGCGAATAGTTAAAGTGTATGACATTGGAAATTGCACCTGAAATTGCACCTGAACTGGGCTGAATATCGTACAGGACTCTTTTTCAAATCGCACTGCGGTCATCTGCACATATGTGAACCAGCTCCATAGAAATGGCTTTTGGTCCACACGAGAATCGGGGATGTGGTTCCAAAACACATGCAATTCGCATATACATGAATCGGGCTAAAGCGGAACTAAATCCATTGACTGAAAAGTTTAAAAGAAACAGTTAAATTCCCAAGTGTCGGGAATGTAACCGTCACAGTTGCTTGTGGTCTCATCCAAACTGTCAAACCATCAAATGGCTGGTGTCATAACTGATAACATGTGCAGCACCTAGGCAGTTGAAGATCAAACAGTCTAAGATGACAGCTTCCTTGGATGAAAAAGATAGGGGTTTGTTTACACTTTAAATTAGTGGATTTAAATCTACTTTAATTTAACATACAGATTTAACAAAAGCACTATGCAACTATGCGATCTGCTACAAGTATGCAGAAAAAAGAAAAAAAAAAATCAGTTAATTTGGCTTTACCTGATATGTGTTGCTGGTAGAGATTCAAACTGTCGGGAAAGAAAAAGTTCTCGATGTTTCAGTTGGTGCCTTTGTTGTTCACCAACAGATGGCTGCTTGGACTCTTCCTCAAATTCTCCTGTATAAAAGACACACCAATGTGATAAACAAACAAAGGCTCGACAGGTTTGTAAAATTATGTGTATATAATTATTACATAGGATCTTCATAACTGGAGGCTTATGAGAGGCCTTAAAGTGGAAGTAAACTCCCATTGGACACTTCTACCTACAGGTATGCTTACAATAAAGCTTAACTGTAGGAACAAAGAATATCTCCTAAACACGCACAGTTTGGGAGATATTCAGTGTCCTTGCAGCAAATGATGTCACTGGCACATGTGCTCTGAAGGAACAGCATATCGGTTTATTACGGCTTTAAGTCAGTGACAGAGAAAGGGTTGAAACAAGCTATCCTTAACATCTCTGGCTGCTTTTAGTTTGAGGTCACTTATCCTTAAGGATCAAAATTTCCAAGGCTATGTTTACATGATTTGCAGAAATGGGGTACAGGCTGTTTAACATTAGTTCCTTTGGGTCAAATTCACATCTATACAGTTTTCACCAGTGTTTTTTTGGAAGGGTGCAAGGATTTTTTTTTTTTTGTAATACACAGCATGGTGCGTTCTTGGCTCTATAGACTTCAATGGAATTGCATTAAAAAAAAAAAGCATGAAAAATGTACATACATGAGTTTTTGGTGCATTTTTCTGCACAACAACAGACCCCTCCTAGCAACACTGAACACATTAAAAAAGTGCATTGAAAAAGCATCAGAAATGCGCATACAAAAACACAAAACGGGCCTCAAAAATGCATCAACCACAGAGATAGATGTGAACCTAGCCTAAAGCCTCTTTCAGTTAGTTTCCAAAAGCTACAAACAACTATTTGTTTACATTGCCAAAAAAAAAAAAAAAAGAACACAATGAATGTGTTGTAAAAACTAAATTTCCTTAGAATGATTATAAATATGAATTGCGGCTTGTTTTAAAGTTATTTTACTTCTTGTTTAAAATAGGTTTACGCTTTCGTTTGATCTGGATACAGGTTTACTTTAATGCAACACACACTGGTACAAAGACAAAGCCTGCATGTGCTAAGGAAGCTCAGCTGTGAATGAACCCTTACTGTTGATTGATAAACACCCAAATCTTCTCAGCCTTCTCCAGCCCTCCACTTTTCTACAACTATTCTTCAAAGGTCCTCAAATTCCTTTTGACTGGGGCAAGTTTTCACATGCACAGACCATTCTTTAGTAAAGTAGACTTCCTAACAACACTTTGTGCTCCTTATTTAAAAGGGCAGGGCACCTTCCAACCACACCCTTCATCTCATCTCACCAACTAGAATACCCAAGTTCAAATACCCAGGTTTCCTATAGATCACCATAGGAAACCTGAGCTAACAAATGTGTAGGCTGATGAAAATGCTTTCTGTCTGGCCTCATTCAAATGCTTACTTACACTGACGGGAATTTACTAGGATTGGAGCAGCTGTATATGGCAACCAATCAGCTTCCAGTTTTCATTTTACAAGCTTAAATGAATAAACTGAAGGCAAACTGATTGGTTACTATACAAAGCAGCTCCAGGTTCTGTCTGGTTTAGTAAATGCCTTCCATTGCGTTACTTGCCCACATCAGTCAATGCAGGTATTATGTACACTTGCTTAGTCAAGGTCCCAAAGTTTGGAAGTCACTCGATCGTCAAATAGCACCATTTTAAAAACAGTTCCTGCATTACTTTTTCACCACTTCACTGCGATTTAACTCTCATAGACTAAGGTAAATGGCACTGAAATCGCACCTGTGTCTATATCAGCGTTATTTTGAGAGTTGCGCATTACATGGGACCAAATCGCATCACTTTGAACTCACATTTGGTGTGAACCAGGGCTAAAAATTTGATGCTACACTACAGACTACCTAATATGGATAACATTTCTTCAGAGGTTCTATGTTGCAGGAATGAGCCTCCAACTTTACTTACCAAGTAACTTTATATAAATATGTATATATTTAAAACAACAATCGAAGCTGGTGTACAGAGTTTATTGCCACAAATTGTGGCAAGGGTAAGTCACAGTTGAAAAGTTCTTCTTGGGTATCTGTGCTCTGCCCCTTGATGTCACCCACGAGTTTCATATCACCCAACGCCTGGGACATGTCGTTTCTTTTTACCTTCAGCCCACCTGTCAGGTGGAAGAATTCGGGCGGTAGCGTTGCCGTTCAAATGCTTCCACACAGCGCCAGCCTCCCTGCCCCCCCCCACCAACTGTCTCCCGGGCTCCGCTTGCCTACCTGAGGGCCCAAGACCGGCTCACCGCCGATGGCTAGAGGGGAGGGAGGAAAGCAGACATGTCCACTCCCCTTCTTGTCTTGATCCAGAAGCGACGTTATGATATCACTTCTGGTTCCCAGTTGAGAGATTCCCGGCAACTGAGGCCGGGAAAGAATGCAATGCTGTGCGATGTGTGCATTACATTCAGGGGAAGACATCTAGGGTCTTTTAAACCTTGCATGTCTAAAAGAGAACCTGTCACCAAAAAATCATCACATAGGGGACATTGTTCCCTATGTGATGGGAAAAAAAATTGAGCCCACCACATACAAACGTAAAAGCACATGCTGGGGTAACTACGCATGAAAACGAGGGCAATAATTCTAGCACCAGACCTCCTCCATAACACTATACTGATGACCTAGAAGGGCTTTAAAAGCATCACCTATAGAAAATATAGGGTACTGAATTTCGTACCCATTTCACGAGTGCACGCAAATTTAAGGTTTGACAAGTTGGATATTTACTTGCTGCAACCTCATATTTTATATTTTACAAAACAATAGGGTAGTTTATTGCTATTTTTTGTGCCCTAAAATCAACTAACTTGTATTGTTCACTGAAATTTTGCGGTAAATATCATGCGACATAAAAAAATTGGAACTACCACTATTTCATCCTCTAGGGTCTCGGATTTCAGAAAATATATCATGTTTGGGGGTTTTGTGTAATCTTCAACCCTAAAATGATTTTTTTTAATCTTAAGTAAAAAAAAAAAAAATGCAAAAAACGGCTCTGGCAGCGAAAGGCATCAAGGATAAGCCGGACACTCCCCTTTCCTGACAAGCACCCAATCAGTGCTCATTACACTGCATGGTGTCTCTCTGCTCCCTGCTAGTCCAAGTGCTGTGCAGGAGAGAAGCAGGGAGAGAAAGAGAAGATAAACAGCTCAATATTAAAAATATTAACCGTTTAAGTCACCATAAAACCCCTTTTGTTTTTAAAACTTTCCTAATATCACCTCCGATTTAAATACAGTTTTGGTTAAAACTTTTTTTTTTTTTATCTGGACAAGTAGATTGTTATGAGTGACAAGTAGACTGGGACACTGATTTAGTCCCTTGGACAAGTAGTTTTCTAAAAAAAAAAAATTCACACCCCCTGTACAATTGTATGAAATATTTTCTGACACGGATCACAAAGTCATTTTTAGCTGGAACAAGCAAACTGCTGATCCACGGAGGTATCACCATTGTATCCAGCCACCCCTTATACGGATTTTTCATGACACTGAAATGTCCAACAACTAAAATAGTGACAGATACTCACGTGCATTGCTGTCCGCTAAACTGTTCAGACTGCTGGAGATATCTCTGCGCCGAAACAGACACACAACCTTGGCTTCTACATTACCATTTGCTGTCTACAAAAAAGAACGCAATATTTCAGCCATGCAAGTTCATAATCATTGAGAGCAAAACATATAGATCATGCAACTTACAAAGTTTACAAAAGCAAATGTTACCTTGTTGAGTTCTTCGATTCGCCGAATAAGGTACGGGTTACTTGAAGAGTTTTCAAAATACACATAATCTGATTAAAAAAAAAAAAAAGCAAATTACCTAAAAGGTTCATATGGCAAATCACCAAATGGATAAAATTTTCTACTACTATCTAAAAACAGAGAAACAAATATATGATTTTGACTATGTAATTCCTGAGTGACTATATTCAAATGGTCTTCGCATAAATGGTTCAACATGTCAAACAACTGCATTACAGTGCAGTCCAAGCCAACAGCCCTCCGGTTTTAATAGAGGAGAAAGGGATTGTGTCAGTAGTGTGTCACAAGGACAGGTGCTAAAGAGAAAACCCTTCAACGAGAACACTTTTTCATAAAAGTGGGGGAAGGACTAGATCCAGTCAGGTTTCTTAATTCAGTAACATTAATTCCCTACAATTCTTCCCGTGTCCCACAGACAGACGTAAAAGGAAAGCTCCATAAAGAAAACACAGCAATAAAAAAAAAAAAAAAAAAAAAAACGAACAGAAACTCCAACACCTCCCTACTATACACAAAACTAAAGAAAATATTTAGACAGAAATGTTCAATTACAACATGGCTCAATACAAAGCCAAAACACAGATAAACCTACACATGTTGGCAACACAGTTTTCCAGTGTATTCAATATCCCAGCAGACAGCCTTGATACTGTTCATTTTGAATTGGATTCATGAAACTACTTAAAGCAGAGCTCCACGGAAAAGGGGAAGTTCCGCTTTAAGAATTTGTCCCCAGATCCCCATTAAGGATTGGCACCTTTGGGGAGCGAGGGGGGGGCAGGTACCCAAATTTGACATGTACCCGCTCCCACTGCGATCGCCTAGGTGATCGGAAGTTGCGCCCCCCCCTCTCTCTCTGTAGTCTTCTGGGACACATGACAGGTCCGAGAAGACTATGGGGCCATTCACAAAGCGCAGCGCTTCTCGCGCATGTTGCCACAAGCTGTCACAGCCGGGTGCCCACACTGAAGTTGCCGGCGTCTGGGAGAGAAAACGGCCAGTGAAACTAGCCATGGTGAGGACACCGCTGGACCGAGGGACAGGTAAGTGTCTGTATTTTAAAAGTCAGCAGCTACAGTTTTTGTAGCCAACGTCTTATTTTTTTCAGCTGGAACGCCGCTTTACCCTCTAAAAAGAGCTACTTGGATGCAAACTTTACTGCGGGAGCAGTTTAACCACTTCCAGTCCGGACACTTTTACCCCCTTCCTGTCCAGGCCAGCTTTCAGCGCTATCACACTTTGAATGACAATTGCGCGGTCATGCAACACTGTACCCATATGAATTTTTTTAGCATTCTTTTGAAACAGATAAAGCTTTATTTTGGTGGTATTTATTCACCACTGGGATTTATTTTTTTTTGCTATATAAATGAAAAAGTCCAAAAATTTTGAAAAAAGTATTTTTCTTATAAAAATTTTGCAAATAAATAGTATTTGATCATAAATCTTGGCCAAAATTTATTCGGTTATCTTTTTAGTAAAAAAAAAAAAAAAAAAAAAAAAACAAAATTAGTTTATAACCAAAAAATATAATATTTAAATTTATTTTTTTTACATTTTTATATTATTTACATTTTTTTTTCTACATACTGTCACCCTAGCAGTATAGTGTCACCATGGTGATGCTGTACTACTTGTGGGGGGTGATGATTTCTTTTTTTTTTTGTTACACTAATTGCTTTTACACCCATAAAGGCTGTAAAAGCAATCATTTCTCTTTCTCTCTGGCTGCATTCTTGCAGCCATTGAGAACTACTGAGTGATCTGTGAATGGTCACAGCTTGTCACATGGTACAAGGCTGTTGTGAATAGCTTTGTACCATGTGACCTCTGTGATCATTCACAGATTTCACACGTAGTAAGCAATGATGTCAGAAGTGACATCTTGCTTACTACTCTGCATGTGATCACTGATTGGCCAATCAGTGATATGACATGATCGGGACCTCACACAGAGGTCCTGTATGACGACTGGTGTTCCACTTAGTCCGGAGGACACAGCGGGCATCGGATCATGGTGCTGCACGCTCCCAGGGAGCACGCACAGTCCATAACGGCGGGGGCCGGTTATGAACCAGCAATCCGCCCCTGGACTGCCACCGTCCGGCCGTTTATATACAACGGCCGGACAGCAAGTGTGGTTAATAAAATAAACCTACACAGTGCGGGAGATTTACTAAAAATGGAGAGTGCAGAATTTGGTGTAGCTGTGGATGGTAGCCAATCAGCTTCTAACTTCAGCTTGTTCAGTTAAGTTTTGACCATAAAAACTGGAAGCGGATTGGTTTCTATGCAGAAATGCACCAGATTTTGCATTCTCCAGTTTTAGTTCATCTCCCCCACGTGTACAAAAACACATAACTAGTCATATACTGCACTGTCTATGAATATATACTCAGACACTAAAATTAGTTCTGCCTTCTTGCATTACTAGACAACACACACACACACACACACACACACACACATGCTTGTTAATCAGGGGTGCAAAGTTGGAGCACAACGAAAGCGCATATCACAGGTGTGGAAAAAACAAACCTATGTAATCCCTAAAGGAGGCCTAATGTGAACAGACATGCATCTGCCAATATCCACCCACATTCGGTCAGGTCCTACAAAATGACCCTGGCGCTGCCTTCTTCAGCTTGGTCCAATGAAATCTGAATGAGCTCAGATGTAAACAAGTTACGGGTGAACATCTGCCTACATCCAGCCCATGTGGATATACTACATTCTGTTCTTGACATTACGGGTTTTATTCATTAAGCTGCAGAGTAAAAAATCAGGCTTACTTTTGCATAGAAACCAATCAGCTTCTAAACTCAGCTTGTTCAATTAGGTTTTGGCAATAATACGTGGGAGCCGATTGGGTTCAATGCAGAAGTGAGCCTGATTTTTCACTCTGCAGCTTTAGTAAATAAACCCCGTAACATCAAGCCAAAAACGTATTCACAGAGTGCCAATGTGAGAGGGGCCAGACAGTGGACAGGGTTTGGTGGTGTCTGTGTGAATAGCTTGGAACCTCTGTGTATGTTACAAATGACTGCAGTAACAGTATTTACTTGATTAATCAAGTGGCCATGAAGTTTAATGTGTGGGTGGGCCAATGTATGCAACATAAAGCTCAATGATGTTTTCCACTTTCAGAGAGTAGAAAAAAAAAAAAAAAATTCCTCTGTTGACTGTAGCAAATAAAAGCATTGGAAGTATGTGCAGCTTGCTTTGAAGCAAAAAGCTGCAGGATTTTTTTTTTTTTTTTTTTTTTAAACAGATCTCCACCAACCAGCATTGGATGGGGTACATGGAAAAGTTTTTCACTTTCCATCTGAAACGGATGTATTCATGTGATTTCCACTACTGTACTAAGTATGGCTTATTACAAAGGAAAATCCACGCAGGAGTTTAGCGTTAAGGAAAATTGCAATCGAGATTTTTTTCTTCAAGTTAACAAGTTTTTATACATAAAAGTGTTACTGAACCCACAACAGTAAAATCAGTCTGTATATGCAGTAAAGCATGCTTGTTGTGCTCACTGTGGAACCTACGGGGTTAATCCTCTGCATTGTGTAAAAACGCTGTTAGATCCTCACTTCTCTGCTCCTCCTCTTGTTCAAATGTCCACGTCTTATCTCCTGATATGACAGACTGAACGGTAGCCATTCTGCACATGCTCAGTTTAGTGGGTATTGCTAGAGAGGTTTTTTTTTTTTTTCTTGGGAGATGCATGTGATCAGCACAGGGCCAATCAGCACTGTCCAGCCAGACATCAGGGGTTTTGAATCTTCCTAAAGAAGAAAGAAAACTCCTCCTACAAGCTTTAACCAGTGCTCTGCTGAACACTGATAGAAGTCACAAGACTGCTCTAACTACAGATGAGAAAAGGTATTTAGCAGTTTATATGTACTAAAATAATTGCATTTCCATGTTCTGTGTACTGTGGGAGACCAGATATAGTGAATGCAGGGTCTGGGGAGACCAGATCTAGTGAATGCAGGGTCCTGGGAAACCATATATAGTGAATGCAGGGTCCTGGGATTAGGAACACGGAGTACTGACTTGATTGTAGCCATATCAGTGCACTTGCAACAGAAACAGTGCTATCAGTGACACTTTTTTTTTGCATTAACTTTCAAATTTTCAGGAATAGCTTTCTGGGTGTACCTCATATGGCCATATTTCCCCTTTACTTGTATTATGCAGCCTCACTGCAAAGCTGGCCATACACTTTGCAATCTGATTGAACAATCTTCTTTAAATCATCCAACAATCATGTAGAAGAAGAAATTCCCTAACAACATACAAATAAGGTGGGATGCTTAGCTAAGGCCCCTCCTACTACATAGTTTTTGTATATCCAAAACCTCTCGCTTATTCAGATTGCAAAGTGCATGGACAGCTTACTGGTTCCTGCACATTACAATGTATTTATACAATCTCCATTAGATTTACCAACAATCATGTAGTGGTATGGCCCATCTTAAAGTGGAGCTCCACCCAAGAGGGGAAGTTCTGCTTTAGGACTGGTCCCCAGCTCCCTGTGTACAATTGGCAGCTTTGGGGAGCAGGGGGGTATCTGAATTGGGGACGTAAACAGAAGTTCGACAATTGCAGAGGACTGGAGCTCCGATTTATAGTATATGTATACCATATTTTTTTTTTTTTGGACAGAATAGGGAAAAATTAGAACCGCTGTTGGATTGCACTGCTGTCGGGCACATTTTAGAGAGATTCCCCTCACTTCCGGTCCTAAGGACAACCTTTTTACCCTACAGGAAGTAGTGAAAACTCCCCAACAGCAATACAGACAGGGGTAAAAAATTTTTTTTTTTTTTTTATAAAGAAGTGTAAACCCTCACCTTGTAAAAGAACGCATTTTAAATAGAAATTAAAAGGTAAGATATTTCTGTATGGATATAAAACAGAGGAAAACAAGATAAAAATGTTTTTTTTTTTTTTTTATATGTGATCACATTCCCTCCCTTTGCAGCTAAGAACAGAGAGCTGGGGGAGGAGAAACAGCGGGACACTGAACT